ATGGAAGTACCTACCCAGACCAATAAATATTGGAGTTCCGGGGCTGGGGATTTAGCTCAGCGGCAAAAGCGCCTGCCTGGCAAGTGCAAGGTCATGAGTTCGGTTCCCGGTACCGGAGAAAAAACCAAAAAGAAAAAAGAAAAAAAAAATATTGGAGTCCCTTACTCTTTGGCTTATGAATCAAACTGAGCTGCCAGTCTTCTTCAGGGTCTTTACCATGTCTTTGTATGCCTGAGGGACTATGGTTTGGTTAAGAGGATTGTTCTTTTGGCAGAGTTTATATGTCTTAACGATCCATTATATTGTCTGAGAAAGTCCCTTTTCTATCAGTAACTTTCAGTCCATCTTGCGGGTCTTGTCTTTCCCCAAGTGAAAAGTTTGATGTAAAGATTTAATAACTTTCCACTGACTAGCACCAGGAATGAACAACTTACCATCCTCTGATTGTAACCATCCTGATAGAAGGAAATGTCACCCATAGGAGAGAGCCCATTAAATTTCTGACTGAGAATATTTGGGTCAAATATGATCAAGGAATCCTTCACAGATCAGGGGGTGCTGAAGTAGGGGGTGGGGGATTGAGTAGCTTCTTTTGCAGCTGCATCAGCCAGCTGATTACCTTGAGATACTCTGTCAACTCCTTTTTGTTGTCTTCTACTGTGAATTACCACCACTTTGGAGTACATATAGACAAATGATAAAAGTCTGTCTATCTCTTTATGATGCTTTATGGCTGATCCACTGGCTGTCAGATAATTTCTTTCTTTCCATACGGCTGCATGTGCATGTGATACAGGAAAGCGTACTTTGAATCAGTGTAAATGCTGGCTTTTTGTCTTTTACTGAGTTGCAAAACCCTGGTCAGAGCTATGAGTTCTGCTAGCTGAGCACTAGTCCCAGGGGCAAGTGGGAAACTCTCAAGTGTCTAATGTAGAGTCGTGACTGCATACCTCACCTTTTTGGTCTCACTTTCCATGAAGGAACTGCCAGCACAGAAGAGGGTCAAATCAAGGTCAGTAAGGGGTATGTCTAACAAGTCTTCTCTGGATGCAAACATATGGAGCCATTCTCCAATTACCTGTTTGCAGTCATGTGTTTCAGCTTCAATTTCTTCTTTCCCTGATAGAAAGGTGGCAAGTTTTAAGGAGGAACATGTCTTTATTTGAATGGCTGGTCCTTCTATAAGTAAAGCCTGGTATTTAAGAAGTCAGTTGTCCAATAACTATGGACTTCCTTTGGAAGAGAGAAGTCCTGCCACGTTGTGAGGGGTATATACAGTGAGATTTTTGCCTATAGCCAGCTTGGATGCCTCTGGTACCAAGAGAGCTATGGCAGCCACAGACAGCTCTGAGGCACACAGGCCATCCCTTTGCTACAGTGTCTAATTCATGACTCAGATACCCTACAGACTGTTGAGCAGGTCCTTGATCCTGCATAAGCACTCCTAAAATCATGCCCCACCTTCCATCAACATGCAGATTGAGATGGTGTCCTGCTGGTAATCTCAGTGCTGAGGCATTTAGAAGCCGTTGCTTAAGCTTCTGGAATGCAGTTTTGAAATCAAGTTCCCATGTTAAAATATGGGTATCTGCCTTTTGGGCTTCCTTTATATGCTGATAGGGGACAAAAGCCTGTAATTCCTAAGATCCCCTTAGCTGTTTTAGGATCTTGGGCTGTTGGAAGGAAAGTATTGGTTTAGTTCTCTCTTCCTTAGCCTTTGGGTTCCTTCAGATATGATAAAGACCAACTATTTACCTCAAGGCTACAAAGTTGTGCTTTAGACCTAGAGACCTTATAACCTCTGCCTGCTAGAAAATTCAGCAGAGCACAGGTGCCTTGGCTAGAGAGCACCTCTGAGGGGCCACATAACAGTACATCATCTACATATTGCAAGACAGTGATTTGTGAAAATTCAAAATACACCACGTGGTGGGAAAGCACTTGTCCAGAAAGATGAGGCCTGTCTCTGAACCTTAAGAAAGCACAGTTCAAGTAGGTTAAAAGAATCAGTCATGACAATTTTCAAAGGCAAAAAAGAAACTGGGAATCTGTATGTAAAGGGATACAAAAGAAGGCATCTCTTAATTCTAACACAGAAAACCACCCAGTATCTTCTAGAATCTGAGAAAGGAGAGGGCATAGGTTGGGTACCACCAGGTGAATGGGCACTTCTGTCTCATTCACCAATCTAAGGTGCTGTACCAACCTTCACTCCCTATTGGGTTTTTGAACTCCCAAGATTGGAGTGTTACAAGGGCTACTACACTGTTCGGGTAGACCTTGTGCCCTTAAATTATTGATTTTAGGCAATAATCCTCTCTTAACTTCAGACCTTTGAGGATATTGTCTCTGGTGAGGAAAAATAGTAGGCTTTTGAGAAGTATTTGCACCAGGGACAGCTTTTATTGCTCTTCCTATTTTATCTGTAGTTACCCATAATTCAGGATTTATTTCTGTCTCCACAAGGGGGGAGATAATGTACCTGACCTGGGTGCATGTATATTACAATATTCGAGCAGGATAAGATATCTCTTCCAGGGAGGATAACTGGACTCTCTGGCATCATCAAAAAGGAACAGGGAAAGAAAAAAAAAAAGAATGGGAGAAGAGAAAGCAGTCCCAGTTACAGCCTAAGGGTTGTGAGAAATGGTGTTATCTGCTCTCAAGTGACTCCTTTCACTAAAGTGTGATGGCCAGAAGGAAGGCTGGGGTTGACAAGAAGGACCAAGAGACCTGTGCCAGTGTCCAGCTGGTTTCTTTTCCCTCTATAGTCACGATTATTTGGGGCTCCTCCATGGAGATGACAGTCTGACCAGAGGGAGAAGGCAGAGTACTCCCAGGCCCTTCAGTCTTGCTAGACCAGCTGGTGAGATGGGTCAGATCCCTGTGGCCTCTACCTCAGGGGTCGCCTACTTCCAGTGGTCACCTTTGCAATCGAGGAATGGCTCAAGGGGCCTCTTGTCTTGATTTTTTTTTTTTGTTTTATTTTGTATTGTGTTGTGTTTTTGAGACAGGGTTTTACTATGCAGTTCAGGTTGGATTTGAACTCACTTTGTAGACCAGACTGGCCTCAAACTCACAGTGATCCTCCTGCCTCAACCTCCCAAATGCTGGGATTGCAGGTATGAGCCACTATACCCAGCCAGTCATGATGGTTCTTATCGCAGTTTCTCCTAAGGATGGCCTGCTTTCCTGCAGCAGTAGGTGGATTTAGTTGTCGAGCTCTTCTTGGAGCCCTGAGAATTGGACTTCAGGTCTATTCCTTTAAAGGCCACAACAAAGGCAGCCATTTTCTCTTGGTCTCTTTGTTTTCTCCTCTTGGCCTCCTCCTGATTCCAATTATAGGATGCTGCAGAGGCAATTTTCACTGAAGTATCAAGTGAGCTATCTGGAGCAAAAGCCATCTTTTGTAGCTTTGTCCTAGTATTTGAGGGCTTAGTGGGTAATAAACTTGTCTTTAAGAATAACTGTCCTTCTATCAAATTAGGGGCCAGGGAGGGATGTTTCATCAATGCCTCTTATAAATGATCTAAGGCAGAGGGGTTCTCATCTTTCTCCTGATGAATAGTTGACAATTAAACTAATTGAAAGGCTTAGCTCTCATTCTTCTTAGGCCTTCAGGAATACATGTCTGAAGATGTCTCCTGTTCTAATCTCCTGTCTGGTCAGTGGGTCAGAAGGGATCTTGTCTAGGGACTTCTTGGGCTCCAGTAGGAAGCAGCCATTCCCCTGGCTGCATGTCTTCTGGTCTTCTAAAATTTACAATATAATGCTCATCTCCAAATGGAATAGCAGCTGGTCATGCTGCTTGCCTCTCATTAGGAGTCAGTGTTTGATTTAAGAGTAAATTTACATCTTTCCAATCTAAATCATTCGTCTGAGTAAGTCCTCTACAGGCCTTGATGTACTTATCAGGGTCATCTAAAAACTTTTAGATATTCTTTGATCTGTTTGAGGTCACTGAGAGAAAAGGACACGTGGACATGGGTAGGATATATTTGCCATTTGTCTCCTGTAAGGGATATCACCCTTGAGGAGCCTGCACAAAATCAGCTAAGAATGGATATGGCCCAGTAGAGGCTTCAATTATGGCTGGCTTAAAAGCCTCACCCTGAGGACCCAAAGGACCTCAGGCTTGGTGATAGTGGATGAGGCTTTGATTAAGGTTGCCTTGGAAACCTCATCCTCAGGATCCAAATGGCAAGTGGGGGAGCCTGTCTCAGAGATAGTGGATGTATCCAATTGTGCCTGAGGGGCCAGAGGTGCCTGGTTCTCCTGTGCCTTACATTTATATTCTGAACACAAATAAGGATTATCCTTTAACGCAGAAGAAGTCTGAATATAAGGTAATTCTGACCATTATCCCTTTCTCTTATGGTAAACTTCTAGTTGTGAAATAGTACAATCAATACTTCCCTCTTCATTCCATTCGCCTCTAGGGGGTAAGCTGGCCACGAGCAGGTGCAGGAAGATATTAAACAGCTCTTTCTCAATATATGAGGGTCAAACAATTTCCAGTGCTTAAGAGTACCTTCTAAAGGAGTAAGAGAATTTGACACTGAGTTCCCCATCTCCTTGCAGTTATCTTGGTGGGCGCCTCCCAATGATATAGGGGAAATAAATGTAACTCCCAACCTGCCAGCTGTCTGATACACGGAGTTTATGTTCCCCAGAATTCAAGAATGAATTTTGAGAAATGAGGGAGGTGAAGAGCAGGAAATTTTTTGAGGGAGCCACAGCTCCTGAGAGACAGGAGGGGACCAGGAAAGTGGGTTGCCCCTGCGGTCCTAAACTAATAAGCTTATGGTAATTTGTGACAGCTGCCAGAGCAAAGGGAAATGCAAAGGCAAAGGAAAGACTTGTCATGGGAAACTCTGATGATTTAGATTCGAGTCATCAGTGCCTTTGTGTGAGCTCCATTAACCCCCAGCATCCAACATATTCATGAATAAACACAGCTATTTTAAATGAAAATATATTTATTTTAAAAAATGGTTACTAATTATTTATAGATTGACTTTCCAGTGGAATTTCATCATATGTGCTTTTCTACACAAAAGACCATCAGAAACCCCTCGGTTCATAAACTAGCTCTTGGGGAAAACAGATCTCTTGTCTCCCCATTTCACACATGAGAAAAGTAAGGCCCAGATGGAGGTACTTTCTCCATCTCCCAGAGATGCTAAATGATGCTGTAACTACTGCTTCCAGTTCCTACAGGGCTACATTTATTCTTCCTCAACCCCCAGCAAACACTTCCACAAGCGCCTTTTCCCACATGTGGGTACGACCCAGAGGCGAAGGGGAACCCCCAGTAGCTGGAGACCAATGCCTGGCAGCCAGGCCACTGAAAGCGCAAAGAGTTGGGGAACTAGGAGTCCCATACAGGCACGACGCAAAGGCAGCCAATGGCCACAAGAGGGAGTGCGCAGACTCCGGAGCCTGAGCGCTCTTCAAGGGGCGGGGCCCGTGAACGGCGCGCATGCGCTCGAGGGGACGTGGCGGCGCCAGCCTGTGAAGGGCAGGACGGTGGCCGAGAGGGTACCAGAGGAGGACGGTGGCCCGCGAGGTCTGGCATGGAGCATCTGGAGCGCTGCGAGTGGTTCCTCAGGTGGACGCTGGTGCGGGCGGCCGTGCGACGCTACCTGCCGTGGGCGCTGGTGACCTCCATGCTGGCTGGCTCACTCCTCAAGGAGCTCTCTCCGCTGCCTGAGAGCTACCTCAGCAACAAGCGCAACGTCTTGAACGTGTGAGTGCACCCCGGGTCCTCCTGTTGTGCCGTAGCCTCGCGGTGGCTTGACCGGGGTTAGCTGCCGGGACGGACTAGACTTTGGAGGAGAAGTCCTTCCAGCTGGGACAGCGGCATCTGCGCGAGTGTCGCGACTCGGAGTCGCTAGCGTTTCGTGTTTGTAGATTCAGAGACTGCAGCCCGCGTTTGACGGGGCAGGCAGTGCGGGGCAGGGCTGTGTGGTGTCCGTACGTGGGAGCGTGGGCTGGGGTTGGAGGTGAACCAGCCTCTCCCACCGCCCCTGGGAACGAGAAGCTGTCCCTGCCCTGTTCGGGAGATGTCACCCTCTCCTGCCAGCTTGGGTCGATCCTGTCCGACAGAACCCAGGCGTCGCTTTTTGAAGACCCCACTGCCACCAGCAGCAGCACCTTTGAGAGTCTCTCGTGGGCTTATGACAGAATCCCCACGGGCGGAGGAGTGGAGCCCTCCAGTCTCTGACCTTTCCCCTGCCTCTCCCTGGACCTTCCTCAGCCGACCGTAGCGCATGGCAGTGGCCCAACAAAGCAATCCCGGCAGGGCTTTTGGGGCCATGTCAACTCCACCCACCCACTGCTTTTTCTTTTAACTCCTGCGTTGTAAATTTATAGCACAAAAACACCGCAGCAGTATTAAAGGGAAACTGAAGATGGAACTTCTCCCTTGATGTGAGCCCAGTTCTTCAGCAGTAGTGTCTCCAGAATCCCCCGAGAGTTAGCCCAACTTTGATGATTTACTTAAACCCCTGGTTTCGCTCCCAGGCAGCTCCATCAAATGCCCAACAAGTCTGGGCTCTGGCGAGTCCCTCATTATCAGTGGCAGTGAGGACTTTAGTGATAGGCCCTTGGGTGGTGACTGAGAAACTGCTGGAACTTAGGAAAGAGGCATTCTGTCCTTGGCCCACCTTCTGTCCTCACCCACCCTCCCCTGCTGGGCTAAGAATAGATTATGAGAGTGGCGGTAGCCTCTCTCAAGTCTCTTTCCTGTGTGTTTCCTATAGCTGGTCCCTGGGGCAGCCACCTTGCATGAGCACAAGGGAGGCAGACAAGGGAGTTACTGCTTAGTCTGGCCTGCTGACTAAGGCCGGCCTGGCACACGAGTCCCTGTTGTTTAGGGGTAGCCATGGATTCTGGTGTTTTCTTCCAAGGTACTATGTTAATTAATGGGAGGAAACTAGTGGTGAGTCATTGGATCTGAAACGGATTTTGAGATTCATTTGGTGCCCTCAACCTGATTTAACTGCAGGGCAAACTGATGCCTAGAGAGGTGTTTGAACAAGTGGAGTCAGAGTTGGGTTAAAATCCTGGCTCTTCAAGGATGAAATAAAGCTCCTTGTTCAAAGACTTTTCTGCCATGTAGGAAAGAACAGTGATATGGTAGAAAAAGCATGGATTTTGGGATTGGCCAAAGCACGTTTTAATTTGTGCTTCTGTGTGTGAGTATGGCCCTGGGCAAGGAACTCAATTTTTTGAGCTTCAAGATTCTGGGCTAAAATGAGACAGATAATACTGTACCTTCCTTTCCAGGCAATTGTGAGTGTTCTGTGGCAAGTAAATGCTGTGAAAGGTCCTGGCATGTGGTAGATGCTCAGTTATTACTGCTTCCGTGAGCAAATAACACAGTGTTAAAAACAAGACTGGGGGTTTGGACTCCAGCTCCATACTTAACACCTCTATTTTGGCATTATCCTTCTTTGTGCCTCAGTTTCTTTATCTCTACAAGGGGGCACCTTGTAGTAGCACCTACCTCATAGCATTAAAGACTAATTTCACTTAGTAAGTGAAGCACATAGTAAGGGCTTAAAACAGAATAACTCTTAGGATTTCCTTTTTCTTTTTCCTTTTTTTGAGGCAGGGTCTCGCTATGTAGTTCAGGCTGGCCTGAACTCACTATATAGCCCAGGCTGGCCTTGAACTTACTGTGATCCTCCTACCTCAGCCTCCCAAGTGCTGAGATTATAGGCATGCACCACCACACTGGGCAGGATCTATAGTTTTGACCAAATATTCTCATTTTCTCTTCCTCGGAAATCCAGAGACCCAAGTCATAATGTTGTTTGCTTGCCACCCTGTCCCCTCTTGACGCTACTTTCCTCTTCCGCCAGGTATTTTGTCAAGATGGCCTGGGCCTGGACATTCTGTCTCCTCCTGCCTTTCATTGCCCTCACCAACTACCACCTGACGGGCAAGGCCAGCCTGGTCCTACGGCGGCTGAGCACCCTGCTTGTGGGCACAGCCATCTGGTACGGCTGCACAACCCTCTTCTCCAACATCGAGCACTACACTGGCAATTGCTACCATTCGCCGGCCCTGGAGGGGGTCAGAAAGGAGTGCCAGAGCAAGCAGCACTGCCACAGGGAAGGAGGCTTCTGGCATGGCTTTGACATCTCAGGTCACTCCTTCCTGCTGACCTTCTGTGCCCTCATGATTGTGGAAGAGATGGCCGTGCTACATGAGGTGAAGGTGGACCGAAGCCACTGCCTCTACACTGCCATTACTACCCTGGTCGTCGCCCTGGACTTCTTGACCTTCATTTGGGTGTGGATGTTTCTGTGCACAGCTGTTTATTTCCATGATGTATCCCAGAAGGTGTTTGGCACCTTGTTTGGTTTGCTGGGTTGGTATGGGACATATGGGTTTTGGTATCAGAAATCCTTTTCCCCAGGACTTCCTCCCCAGAGCTCTCCTTTGAATTTGAAGCAAGACAGTTATAAGAAATAAGGGAAACAAAAGGGGAGTTGGACAGCAGGACAATGGCTAATGTATTTTCACTTAATTTATTTAGTTATTGATAGCATTATTGATTCCACTTCAGAGGGGAAGCTTACTGGGCAGTTTTGGGGAGTGGTGGTGAAGTCTGGGGTACAAGTTCAGCCTTTAGGCTCTTCTTGGTATATCACCTGTGTCACCAGCATCACCATTCCTACCAGACAGTTTTTGTCCCTGATAAGACTTAATCTTTATCTGGAACACCCCTTTGGTCCCTAGAGGGGAAAGCTAAAGCTCAATGAAAGGACAGAATCAGAAATGCCTCTGTGGCATGGCTCAAGGGGAGGCCATAGCCTCAGGACTCCTCTGTTGCCGTCTTCCTGATTCTAGCTGTCTTTTGATTTTAGCGGCTGTTGATACTGGTGTTTTTGTTTTTGTTTTTTTAACAGTATTTCCCCCTGGTCAGTTTTGCCATAGGCATTTATTTCTGGCAGGGTTCTGTATAAAACACCCCAGTGCCTGAAAGACATTATCTCATTATAGTATTTTGTTTCTTTTGTGGAATGTTGCATATTACAGCTGGCTGTGATCAGCCACGAAAATGACCCATTACGCTGCAGTGGCTCTTTAACTGAGCGCTAGCTGATTTTTACATACTGAACAATGTCCATGTTGTCTGTTGTTATATGTCGGATTTTGGAGCAATAAGGTTACTTTTTTCCCCCCTCTTCTATTTTGAGTGACTGCTTCATAGTTTTTAATAATGACTGTGGTGTTTGTTCTTCTTTGACAAAACTGAAAATAACTCATAGGTCCGGTGTTGCACTTTGGCACACGTAGACTGTTTTGAGGGTTTTGTTTTTAGAACACTAATTTACTTTTTATAAACCAAACTCTTGGCTTATAGTATTAAATTTCACCTCATGGAGTTATTTCCAGTATTAAGAAGGGAACCAGAAATCAGGCTAATAATTTGGTGAATTTAAAACCGAGTCAGAGTAATTTTACACAATTTTGTGCTGGAACTTTCCTGACCACGTATTAGTTGTGTAGTCAGAACAGTGTTTCAGGGTCATAGGACAAGTGCATTAGTCCCTATGCTGTGGCCCAAGTCATTTTCACCTTTGGACATGATTATGATGTTTCAGAAGTGAAGTAAAATTTCTCCCTCTCATGGCTGGAAGCCAGCTTTGTTGCAAAGATATCTTTATTAAGTGGCGCCATGACTTTGGCCCCACCTCTTTGTTGTTGCACCGCCAACAAAGCACCCCATAACCTGGGCCTGTTCCACGGGCCTTGAAATCAGCTGGTCTTTTCTTTCTTCTCTGTAGCACTTCTGAGTTTCTAGCCCTCGTGGTAAGAATGCTGGGGAGGCTTAGAAATCCTGTCATCTCTATCCCACAAGCTCCACATTCTGTAAGACGTCCCCTCTCTTCTCTCTGACTGGCTCCTTAGGCCTTTCAAATTGAGCCCCTTTGCCTTATGGATAATCGCCCTTGAAGCTGCTTTGATGCCCCTCCCCCAGCCAAGCTGGATAATACCATTAACTGATAAACCCTAACTTGACTAGCTTAACTCAGGCCCAGGTTGTTAGGAGGTTGGCGTATCATCAGGGTAATTTTTAAAATATAAAAATAAGGCCGGGCATGGTGGCACACGCCCGTTATCCCAGCACTTGGGAGGCTGAGGTAGGAGGGTTGCTGTGAGTTTGAGGCCAGCCTGGGCTACAAAATGAGTTCAAGGCTAGCCTGAACTGCATGGTGAGACCCTGTCTCAAAAAGACCATTTTATATATATATGGTATATTTGAAATATGTATTTTGTATGCTGTTTTAGCTGTGGGCCAACTTTATCAACACATGAGATGTTCTCAAAGGAGAAGAAACATAGGCAATGAGGTGTCACCACAGTGCTATGGCAAGATGTGGCAAGTGGACTAGAGAGGACATTTCGTACTCTGGAGTTTCCATTCACACCCTATGGTTGGGAGTGGGGCTGGGGTAGGTGGCAGGGGCTTCTTGCAGGGGTTGAAGTCTCCCCTAACTTTCACATTCAGCACTAGAGAACAGGCCCACCACAGGGTGATCAGAAGTTTATTCGTCACACTTCAGTCTCTAGACATTTTTCTCACAAGGTCTGATCCCGGCTTAACACTACACATCAGAAATGTCAGTTGTCCAGCCTTCTGTTTTTTTTCCTGTCTTTTTGAGACAGGGTCTCACTATGTAGCTCAGGCTGGCTTTGAGCTCACTTTGTAGCCCAGGCTGGTCTTGAACTCGCAACGATCCTCCTGCCTCAGCCTCCCGAGTGCTGGCATTATAGGTGTGTGCCACCATGCCCGGCCTTATTTTTATATTTTAAAATGTTGGTTATCCAGCCTTCTGTATGGGTTAGGCTTCCACCAATTCCTCATTCTCAGTGTGATTTATATTTTCTTTTTTGGAGTGCTGGGATGGAGCCCAGGGCCTTGTACATGCTGAGCAAGTCCTCTACTTCTGAACTGCATCCATCCCCTTTTAGCACCCTGCCTTTTCCTCAGAAAAATCATGGCATAAGGAAGAGTTTGGGCTCAGGGAAACATGGGCCATAGATTCAGGTTGTGGTACCACTTACAGTAGCCATACAACTGTGGGCTACACGTCTTCCTCATCTAGAAAGTGGAGATGGGACTGTCAGGGTCAAGGGAGATGATGCATGTCAAGTGCTGAACGTATGTACTTAACAGGTGATAATCTCCATTCCTCTGTTTCTTGACGGCTTTTGGAATGTTCTGGTTTCTCTAGAGAGGGCGGAGAAGCTAACATCTTTTGGGGGCTACTTGGAGTCTGGGTCTGTTGTTGGAATAGTCTTATCTTCTGAAAAGTGTCTGCGGTCCTCAGGTACCCAACAAGAGGCCCTGTGGGTATCTGTGACCACAGAGTTTTGCCATGCTTATTTTCCTCTATGTGGAGGTTCTTTCCCTGACGCTTCATTTCCACATGCATCTGTCATTGTCTGGGTACCAGATTGTATTTAGAGAATGGCTCCCGCCGCTGTTATATACACACAAATCCTGTGTGTAAACAAACAAATTAAAATACACTGGAGACAATGATATCCTTCATTCCAGCGTTTTGTGTGTTCCTTTTCAGCACCCTAAGGAAGTCCAGGGCCCGGCAAACTAAGGACCATGGAAGGAGGTGATTCTTTCTTGAGTTATTTGTTACACATAGGGTATATCATGGCTGGAGTTTCTCTCTCTCTCTGTGTCTCTCTCTGCCTAAGTCCTGATATGTACAGAGTCTACCAAAAAATGTGTACATACTTCAAGAAAAGAAAAAACTTGTTTGTTTGTTTGTGGTTTTTTTTTTGGGTTTTTCTCTGGTACCGGGAACCGAACTCATGACCTTGCGCTTGCCAGGCAGGCGCTTTGCCGCTGAGCTAAATCCCCAGCCCCCCAAAAAAGTATAAATATTTTAATACTAAATTTATTGAGACATCATGAGACAATTACTAGTTATCTTTAGCCTGTACAATTATAAGAGATGCTTAAAGTGGTGGCCATGAGCTTCTAGACATTTATTAGTATGGCAGAATGCTGCTTTGGTAACCTCCGTCATTGAGATTGCTACACATGCACTTTCTTTTTTTTTTTCTTAATACTGGGAATTGAATGCAGGACCTTGCATTTGCCAGGTAGACACTTGGGTGACTGAGCTATATCCCAGGCCCATGCACATGCACTTTCAATTTCTTCTCTAAGGGCTGGCAGTGTAGTGGGTTTTCTGTGATATGTGACATCCTCTAGGGTCCCCCATATGAGGAGGACACCATCTGTTCTGCAGTGTGTAAACCTTTTTTGGCAGACTCATATTTCTATATATCTATATCTGTTTCTTAGCCTGCCTTATTCCCTTCCTGTGTCTTACGATCCAGAGGGCTGAGTCAGCTGCCATAGCAGAAGAGAGGAGAACCTCACAAAAGGAAGGCTGAAGATCAGTGACAAAGTTCACTGGGGTGAGGTCCCCTTTGCAGGTAGTCTGTGTCCCTGGAGGCCTCTACCTATGACAGATTCTTGTGCCTTTCATTGCCCTCTCACTTACCGATCTCACCTACTTGGCACTCCCAGGGGGTGTCTGTTGAAAGATTCTTGGCTCCAGTATTAGAATTGATTCATGCTGCATAGCTTCACTGTTTACACCCCTTCAGCAGAAAGAGGCCCTTCCTGTGTTTATATTAGGAGCTAGGAGCTAGGGTAGGACTACCAGCTCCTGCCCTTGTGGAGTTTATGCACCAGTGTCCATCCTTTCATAGCTTAAGCTGTGTGCTGCTATACTAGTTAGCTTTTTTCACTGTGATCAAATACCTGAAAACAAAGGAGAAAAGATTGATTTTGGCTCACAGTTTAAGAAGTTTCCGTCCATGGTTGGCTGGCTCCATTGTTTCTGGGCCTGAGGTGAGGCAGAATATTAGCTCACCTCCTGGCAGCCAAGAAGCAGGGAGAGAGGATAAAGAACCAGAGAGGAAGAGGCCAGGGAACAGATATAGTCCACAAGGCCATGTCCCTATGAGCCACTTCTTCTGGTTAGGCTGTACCTCTAAGTTTCAATTACCTGTCAATGATGCCATCAAATTATGATCTCATCAGTGGATTGATCCACTGTGAAGTTAGAGCCCTCATGATCTGTTTGTTTCTGGGTACCTGCAGACCCTCCCAGAAGTGTGCTTACTAATTTCCTGGACACTTTTCTTTCTTTTTTTTTATTTTAAAGAGTAAGAGAAGGATAACAGTAATGGGGGGGGGCTTACCAAATTACAGACAAAGTGGTAGGAAATTATCAATGGTTATTGTTTTACATATTGTTATCTACAAGATAGTTTCTCAGGAAAACAAATAGACAAATAATAGTGAGTTACAGACAAAAGAGGTAGGAGATTATCAATAGTTGTACTGTACTTAGGTATCTTTGAAAGAAAATAAATAGAACTATACATGAGTGACCTATTGAATAATCATTAACTATTCTCAATGGTTGTTGTAGGAAACACGTAATAATAAACATGTATCCATTTATGAAATAGGATAGGAACAATACAAACATTACAGAGTTATGGATAGATTAGTAGGAAAATATCAATGACTGCTGTAATACATATTGGTATCTTTGAAGTGGTTTCTCAGGAAGACAGAAAGTACGCAAGAAGGATCTAACAAGTAGTTACAACCTAAGGCTTGTCAAAAATCAAGTGAGCCGTCTGGGGCCAAAGCCATTTTTGGTAGCGTTTTCTCTCCAGCCTCCCATTGCATTGGGACCCCACAGCAGTTAGTGTCCTCTCCCCAACTGTCAGCACAGGCAGCAGGAATCCTGTTGCAGACTTCTCCGGGGCTCCACCACAGCCTGTACTGTCAGGGGAAGAATGGCTTCCAGTGAGTCTCTGCATGTATTATGCAAGGTCCTCCTGGTTTACAGCTTCCAAGCGGCTCTCATGACCCCAGTCCACAGGACCTCTGACCCCTCGGGCTTAGTCTGCATTCTCATGTTCTCCGAGTCCTTGTTCGGCAGCTGCTCCTCTGCTGACTCTAGACCTTTCTGGTTCTCAATGGCAGGAGCAAGAGTGGCCCATTGTATAGCACGTATTCCCAGGGTTTTTTCCAGGTTTGAATGATTCACACACGTCCTTAGGTGGGCATCTGCAGCCGGTGCATGGTGGGCCAATTGTGTCATTGTTTTTCTGTGTCATGATAGTTCTCAATTGAGCAGTGGCAGCTGGCCTGAAGGCCAGTGCGCCACAGCGCTCTCGGCCGCATGGCTCCCCCTGCGCTGGGGGCCCTCCCTCCAGGGGCCTATGAGGCAGAAAGTGAGCCAGCCGGAAGACAGGCGCTCCCTGCCCATGGCTCCCCGTGCGCCAGAGGCCCTCCCTCCGGGGTCACTTTTCAATCCAATCAAGTCAATAATCAGGGTCGGCCATCAAAACTGCAATGATGAATCTAACACATCTCTGATTTGAGGAATTTTACTCTCATGGAAAAGAACCAGTCACACCATTAAGTATTCTGAGAACCCAAATATAGTACCAGTCAGGGCCTGGGGACACAGAGCAGGGAACAGCCAGTGCCCTGGAGAAACAGGAACGATTTTCACAGGAAGTGACAATTCTTTTGGGTCTTGAAGAAGAGACCAAGTAATTTTTATAGAAAAGGGAACCG